AGACCCTTCTTTCTTTTGCCTTCAATTAATTTCTTGCCCCTTCTACGGAGGCTATTGACATCCTTGTGAGAAAAAAATTAATAAACTGTAGATTGGAAGCTGGCAGAGTTAGCGATGACTGTCTAGTGCTTAAGCACCCAATATAAGTTTTAGAATTGGCTTTTAATAATTTTGTTCGACTAGCATACTTATGACTAATGCATTCAAATTAACTTTTGATATTTTTATGCACTTATTTTTTATATAATTTTCTTATCTCATCTATTACATGACAATGAAATTTTTTTCTCAGCCATTTATCGAGATTGTCGAAGGCCTTCATCCCTGTCTAAAATCAACCTTCTCAGGTGGCGATGTCATTCCTAATAGCATTCGTCTAGGTTACGTGCCCGACCTTAAGGACGATTTTATCGAAGATGGGATGGAATCATTCCGGCGCGGAGCTACAACTCTTCTAGTGACCGGGCCCAATATGGGTGGCAAGTCTACTTTGATGCGACAGACAGCCCTACTGATAATTCTTGCACACCTTGTAAGATAGCACTCGATAGAGCTGCAGATTCTATTTTGAAAGCTTTTGTAGTTCTCCATAATTAACTTTGCTTTTTACCTGCGGACTTTTTTGTCTATTCGAGCTAAGTAGGTAGTCTTAGTTATTCGTATATATGAGCTTTTGCTGTGTATACCTGGTTTAGACGTGTTTTCACAACTTACTTATATTTTCCTGTAAAATAAAAAATAATTCAAACCTTACTGTTTTCCTTGTCTTAGTTTTCATATGTAATTCTGGCTTCAGAATTTATCCAGTCAGCGGTACTATGCCGGAAGAATAGATGGCAACTATAGCAGAGGACACATTATATTAGGTTTCGCTAAAATGATGACTACTGTGAAAACAAAGTTAAACCAAGTACATTCCTCTATATTGACATCACTTCCTAATCACCCAATTATTTTGGGTTTAATGTAAATTAACGCCAAAGAGCATATGTAACTCAGCGAACTTTTTTGATCGTCGATTATAAAAGTTTCTAAGCATTCTTAATTCCTCTAGTAATATTTAGAATTAATACGAGTTTGCCCTCTTAAAACCGGCCCCCTACAAATGTCGAGGTCATGACAGACTCCAATGACTGAATGTTGGACGTCTATCCTTGGCACGACATTGTATAGGGTATAATTATATTCTTATTATATAATGAGTTTCTCACCTCTGCTCTTTAAAGCTATTTGCCATTATGTGTGACCAGTCCCTAGCTACGTCGTTGGAACGAATTTACCATAAGTTCTCTTAAGCCTGCTAGGACCAAGCTCTGCCATCACAGCCCTTGCTTATGCCGAAGCTTTCTGGTTAGCTAAGACCTATGTTTTGACTCATTTTATTTGAATCCATTACGCCCATATTGTTGGGCCATTGTGGCCTGTATTATCTGGTGAGTCCATGAATTTTGTCTATACTGTAGCTGCATTTTATTTGCCAGTATTTAGCCAGGTAGAATTAGCTTATTTTTAAATTACCATAGAGACCTGCGAATGTCAAGTGGACATTTTTCGCTATCCAGTGGTTGTTAGGGCAACAACTTACATGGTACGAGTACTCCTAAGGGCTATAAAATCTTTTAGTTATTTCCGATCTTATGTATTAACTAGAAAGAGATAACTTTGTTTTGCATTATATAGGCATTAATATATCCTTTCATTCAAGCTCATTTTCGAACCCAATTGCCTATGTACCATATCGGAATCATACTTTTAGTGAATGAACTCTGCCAATTTTTATCTGATCTATTAGAAACTTTGTGTAATATTTTTAGGGCTGCCGCATTCCAGCAGAACGCTGCCGATTAACTGCTGTTGATCGCGTATTTACTCGTCTTGGGGCCAGTGATCGCTTACTTGCTGGTGAGAGCACTTTCATGGTTGAATTAGCTGAGACTGCGGCAATTATCCGTCATGCCAGTCGTCATAGTCTTGTTCTCATGGATGAGTTGGGTCGTGGCACTTCGACTCATGATGGCGCTGCCTTAGCTGGTGCCGTGCTTCATCGCTTATCTACCGGCAATCTTGCTTTATCTCCGCATCAGGTCCGTTATACTTCTTCTTATTTGTGAAATTGTCATTATATTTCACATCCTACATCTTATTTTGCTCCAGTCATTTTTGAATTATTTAATGAATTTTCTTGTCTCTGTTTTTCATAATATTTCAAAAGGTGAGTGAATA